TTTATTTCTTTTTCTTGACTAACTACTTTGTTTAGGACTTCCAGTACAATAACAGTGGCAAAGGTGGAATTCCTTGTATAGCTCCTGATTTTAGGGGGAGAAGCTTTCTTCTTTCATCATTGAATGTGATGTTAGCTATGTGTTTTTCATAAAAATTTCCTTTACTATGATGAAGAATTTTTTTTGATACACCCAACTTTCTGAGTGGTTATTTTTTATTATGAAAAGGTGTTGGATTTTGCCAAATGCCTTTTCTGTGTCAACTGAGATTATTGTCTGTTTTTTACCCTTCCTTCTATTAATGTCAAGTATAGATTAATTGATTTTCATATTTTGAACCACCCTAACAATTCTGGGATAGATCCCACTTGGCATGATTTATGATCTTTTTAATATTCTGTTGGATTCAATTTGTTAATCTTTTGTTGAGGATTATTTATCTACTGTTGTCTTTTGGTGTTCACAGGGGCTTGATCTCAGGACCCAATGTGGGTACAAAAATCCATAGGTACTGAACTCTCATAATAGACCCTCTGTATCCATGGTTTTGAATTCGTGGATTTAACTAATCATGGATTGTGTAGTACTGTAGTATTTATTGAAAAAATCTGCATATAAGTGGCCTTTTTTCATTCAAACCCATGTAGTTCCAAGGTGAAATATATGTTCATAAGGGATATTGGTGTGTAGTTTAATTTTTTGTGTTGTCTTTGCTTGTCTTTGGTGTCAGGGTAATACTAATAGAATGAGTTACAAAGAATGATGATGCTCTGAAAAGACCAGCAAAATCAATGAGCATTTAGCTACAATGACTAAGAGATAAAGAGGGAAAACATAATTAACTGATACTAGAAAACTAGAAAAGTTGGGACATAACTATGAACTTTACACTTAATCTAGCTAAAGATTTGTCAATATTGTGGATCTTTTCTAAAACGTAACCTCTTTTTTCATTGATTTTTCTCTATTTTTAAAAAAAAACTTCATTTATCTCTGTTCTAATATTTATTATTTTCCCTTTCCTTCAAGGATATTAAATTTTTTTCGATAATATGATTTGCAAATTTTTCTCCCATTCTTTAAGCATTGTACTTTTTTGATTGTGTTATTTGATGCACATTTTTGATGTAGTTCAATTTATTTTCAGGATTTTTGCCTGTACTTTTGGTGTCATATCCAAGAAATTATGTCAAATCCAATGTCATGAAGTTTCTTCCCTTATACTTTCTTTGAAGAATTCTGTAGTATTAGATTTTATGTTTAGATCCTTGATCCATTTTGAATTAATTTTTATATATGGCATGAAGTAAGGACCCAAGTTTTTCCTTTTGCATGTAGAATCCAGTTTTCACAATACCATTTGTAGGAAAGACTGTTATTTTCCCATTGAATAATTTTGGTACCCATGTCAAAAATCATTTTACCATGTATGAGAAGGTTTACTTTTGGACTCTCTATTTAATTCCATTGGTGTATATGTATTCTTTATGCCAGCACTACACTGTTATGTTTACTGTAGATTTGGTAATAAGTTTTGAAATCAGAAAATGTGAGACCTCCAAATTTGTTCTTCTTTCAGAAGATTCTTTTGGATATTTGAGGTCCCTTGAGATTCCATATGAATTTTAGGATGGATTTTTCTATTTATGCAAAAAATTCTATCGGAATTTTGATACGAATTGGATTCAATCTGTAGATTTTTATCCATTCATTTCCTTTTATTGGTTGGTTAATTTTTGGTGGTTCCCATGGGGATTAGTATTAGCATCCTGAATTTATAGAATTCCACTTTGAATTGATAACCAAATTAGTTTAACAACATAAAATCTTATACAGCTCTAGAATCATCTATGTGGTTATTGCCAAAAGTTACATGTTTATATATTTTGTGTTCATTATCATAGAGTTACAATTATTGTTTTTATAAATTCTCTTCTAAATTACATAGGAGAAATAGGAGTTATAAACAAAACACACTCCATAATACTGACTTTATATTTAACTATGTAATTAACTTTATGGATGTTCTTTATTTCTTTGTATGGTCTCAAATTACTGTCTAATGTTATTTCATTTCATCCTGGAAAACTCTCCGTAAGAATTTTTTTTTTTAGTTTTCATATATGTACTGATTATTGTTTCTAAGAACAGATTATATCATCAGCTTTTTAAACTGACATAGTTATCAAAGGAATAAAGCCAACTACAAAATAAGAATCAACAGAATGTGGTAATCCAATCATAAAGGACAGTCAAATGTGCTTATGCATATCAAGAAATCAAAATAATCATTAGTTCATTTGTGTCATTATTATTTTTTAGATTCTTCATATAAATGTTTTCAAGATTTAAAAAGGAACTTGAAAAGGCTACTTTCATCCAACTTGCCTTTTCATCCCCGTGACTTTTTTTTAACATTTTTTATTGATTTATAATCATTTTACAATGTTGTGTCAAATTCCAGTGTTCAGCACAATTTTTCAGCCATTCATGGACATATACACACTCATTATCACATTTTTTTTTCTGTGAGTTATCATAACATTTTGTGTATATTTCCCTGTGCTATACAGTGTAATCTTGTTTATCTATTCTACACTTTTGAAATCCCAGTCTATCCCTTCCCACCCTCCACCCCCCTGGTAACAAGTCTGTATTCTCTGTCCATGAGTCGATTTCTGTTCTGTATTCATGCTTTGTTTTTGTTTGTTTGTTTGTTTTTGTTTTTTAGATTCCACATATGAGCAATCTCATATGGTATTTTTCTTTCTCTTTCTGGCTTACTTCACTTAGAATGACATTCTCCAGGAGCATCCATGTTGCTGCAAATGGCGTTGTTTTCGGTTTTTATGGCTGAGCAGTATTTCATTGTATAAATATACCACTTCTTCTTTATCCAGTCACCTGTTGATGGACATTTAGGCTGTTTCCATGTTTTGGCTATTGTAAATACTGCTGCTATGAACATTTGGGTGCAGGTGTCATCCTGAAGTAGATTTCCTTCTGGATACAAGCCCAAGAGTGAGATTCCTGGGTCATATGGTAAGTCTATTCCTAGTCTCTTGAGGAATCTCTGCACTGTTTTCCATAGTGGCTGCAGCAAACTGCATTCCCACCAGCAGTGCAGGAGGGTTCCCCTTTCTCCACAGCCTCTCCAGCATTTGTCATTTGTGGATTTTTGAATGACGGCCATTCTGAATGGTGTGAGGTGATACCTCATTGTAGTTTTGATTTGCATTTATCTCTCAAAGTAATAAAATATTTGGGAATAAATCTAACCAAG